ACTATTTACGCGTGACCTTTCCCGGCAATGGATAATATGTGTACACACCGGAGAACAGGACCTTTACGCGCCACCGTCGTGAAATTCCATCGAACGAGTCCTCCTCGTTTCATTACGCTTACCCAGGAACGCATTAACGCCCGTTGATACGCGCCGTTGGAGCGTGTTCCACCGACGGTCTGCGTCGCACGAGCGAACCCCGTTGGCAGAGCGGAATCGACGGAAAAATGCGTCGCCTCGATGCACTTTCGAGGCTGCACCGACGCGATGTCTCGAAATGTCGGGCTAACGCCGTTCCGTCGGGGCGACTCGTCGTCTCGCGTAAACAATCTCGCGAGACGGGAATGTAAGACGGGAACGTAAGAATGGCGCGTAACACCGGGCTTTCGCGTTCCACGAATCGCGCTGGTTCCCAACGAATTTCCGCCCCGACGTGCAATAAATCTCGACGACTGAATCGCGCTGATCGCAGCCACCGCCGAGGGGGTGGCACATTCTCGCGAAATTTCGCGTTCCCGTTGTTGATATCCCCGCGCGCCATGATTAATTGCGCATTGAACCGCTATTGCGTTTCAACGGGGGATGCGTTTCCATCGAGTTGCACGCGCCTAGGTCTTCGAAGCGTCGCGTCGCAGCTTCCGTCGAACGCGGCGGCCATCGGGTTCTAATTCTCTGGAAGATATCGCGAACGAGGATACCGTGGCGGTATTCAGCGAGGGATGCGATCCACGTTTGACTCGTGATCGTGACAATGGAAATTCATAAATGGAAATTCGAAACTCGACGTTATCTGTTCCCTCGAAGCGTCGAGCGGTTGAGTCCTAAATAAGATTTCTCGATAGCACGATGAAAGCGTGTCTACGCAGACGTTTCCATCGAGCATCCCACGAGACAATGATGGCCTTTAATTGTATCTCGTGTCCCGTTGAAGATAGCGCTTTAAAGCTGAACCGTGGGCTAAGTAATCGGGAGGCATTCGTTTGGCCGACGGAACGTCGGCACAGTCTGCTCGTGAGGAATATCGAGAACGCGTTTCCGCACAGGGTCTACATATATCAGCTTTACGACGTGCTTAGAGCGAAATCTGGCTTTAATCGCGACCCTCGATGCATCGATAAATTACCAGTAGAACGACGTCGTTTTTCGAGTATTCCTTTCCACCCGCCGCTTTCGTGTATCGCTGTGGCATTCTGCAGGTAAGTACTCTACCTTTCTCAAACCCGAAACGGTAGCGAAGCTGCTACTTTGCAACGCTACTTTCGATCGAGATGCACTCGGAGATTTATCGAGAACGCGAAAAGAAACGAGACGGTGAAACTTTTTTAAATTCTGCCAATATCGATCTCCCTGGGTCCGAATTTATTGGATAAAAATCGGTCAAAAATTCCGAGTACAATTTCGAATACACGCTAGCTCGCGTGAACCCGGCGAACAAATTGCGACCGTGTTAACGCGAAATCGTTAAGGGGTTAAATACCGGACTGCGAAAGCGTATCCCGGAACAATATATGGCGCGATGCTTTAATATTTGTCATAAAAGATGCGCGAAACAAATGTTCCTCTGCAGGGATCGACCCGGTCTCCATTTAACCGAAACTTCAACGTTATCGCGTTGTCACGTACACGCGTGTGCACGTGCACGTGTGAGAGAATGACGGGTATATGCAACGGGCTCGTACATAGATCGCATTAACAGACTGACGTGTATCGCGGCATCTATTAATTCAACGAACCG